CTCCCAACGGTCTCCTCTGGACAACAAGGTCCATCCCTGCGCCTTATTCTCTCGTCGTCTCTCTCAAGCAGAACGAAATTACGACGTGGGCAACCACGAGCTTTTGGCGGTCAAACTCGCACTCGAGGAATGGCGGCACTGGCTGGAAGGCACTGAGACACCTTTTTTGATCTGGACAGATCATAAGAACTTAATCTACCTCCGGAACGCCAAGCGTCTGACCCCCCGTCAGGCCCGTTGGTCGCTTTTCTTTAATCGCTTCAACTTTGTTTTGACCTTCCGCCCGGGCTCCAAAAACATTAAGCCTGACGCCCTGTCCAGGCAGTTTGCCCCACCTGACTCGCCCGAGGTTTCTGACTCAATTATTCCGTCGTCCTACATTGTTGGTTCTCTTTCTTGGCCCATCACCGCCACCGTTCAACAGGCCCTCCTCTCCGAACCGGATCCAGGTGGTGTTCCCCCCGGCACCCTCTTCGTCCCCTCCAGCGTGCGGTCCCAGGTGCTCCAATGGCTTCACTCCAATAAACTTTCTTGTCACCCCGGAGTCAACCGCATGCTCTCCCTCACCAAGACCCATTTCTGGTGGCCATCAATGAACTCTGATATCAAGGACTTTGTTTCTGCCTGCCCTGTCTGTGCCAGAAACAAGTCCGGTACTCAACCCCCGGCTGGCCCTCTGCTCCCCCTCCCAACCCCTAGTCGCCCTTGGTCCCACATTGCCCTTGATTTCGTTACCGGCCTTCCACCATCTGACGGCAACACAACCATCCTCACGGTGGTCGACCGCTTCTCTAAGGCCGCTCATTTTGTTCCCCTCCCTAAGCTCCCCTCTGCCCTTGAGACTGCCCACTTACTCACCCTCCATGTGTTTAGGCTCCATGGGATCCCATCAGACATTGTCTCTGACCGAGGCCCGCAGTTCATCTCCCAGGTCTGGCACTCCTTTTGCAAGTCGCTCGGGGCATCCGTTAGCCTCACCTCTGGTTACCATCCTCAGGCTAACGGACAAGCCGAGCGCTGCAATCAGGAGCTGGAGTCCACACTGCGTTGCCTGGTCGAGTCTAACCCTTCGTCCTGGAGCCAGCACTTGGTTTGGGTGGAGTATGCGCATAACTCCCTCCGCTCCTCTGCCACCGGCATGTCCCCCTTTGAGGCCTCCTTAGGTTACCATCCCCCCTTGTTCCCTGATTCAGAAACAGACTGTTCGGTCCCATCCGTCCAGCACCACTTCAGGCGTTGCCGTCGCATCTGGCGCCAGGCCAAAGCAGCCCTCCTTAAGACCGCAGCCCAGGCAAAACGGTTTGCTGACCGCCACCGTTCAGAGATGCCCGCCTACCAGGTCGGCCAGCAAGTTTGGCTGTCCACCAAGGACATTAAGCTGTGGGACACCCCTCGCAAACTGACCCCCCGCTTCATTGGTCCTTTCCCCATCACCCGTATCATCAACCCCTCTGCGGTCCGCCTCCAGCTCCCCAGGGCCATGCGCATCCATCCTACGTTCCACGTCTCGCAGGTGAAGCCTGTCTCCCTCAGTCCCCTGTGTCCTCCATCTGACCTCCCTCCGCCGCCTCGCCTGATCGACAACCACCCTGCGTTCTCCGTCCGTTCCATCTTGGACGTGAGACGCAGAGGTAGGGGCTTCCAATACCTGGTCGATTGGGAGGGGTACGGTCCTGAGGAGAGGTTATGGATCCCCAGGTCCTTTATCCTTGATCCTAGTTTAATTTCCAGGTTCTACAGAGACCACCCCGAGAAGCGCCTCAGGTCGCCAGGTGGCGATTCTTGAGGGGGGGTACTGTAAGGGTCCCACTGCCTGCAGCCTGCCTTGCTGATGGCCGCTGATTACCAACACCTGGCGGCCATCAGCCTGATGAGCCTCTCCATCTACTTAAGGCTGCAGTCCGGTGTGACTCAACGCTAGAGCATATCACCTCTTATGGTATAGTACTGTTGTGAGGCAAATGTCTTGGTGAAAAGAATTTGTTCAACTTTTGCTCTTTTTTCCAGTTTCCTGGTTCCTCGTGCTCTTTGGATTTCCCTCGTGACCTGATCTGGATCCCTTGGCCTGTCAGGTATTCCTCGTGCCTCTTGCCTCCAGTTGCCAGCCTTCCTCACTCCCCTTTGGACCCCTGTTGGATTTCCCTCTGCTGCTCGCTCTCCTTGGACTGAAGGACCAGTTCTCCTCTTCGGGTTTGGACTGTAAGGACAAACGCTCATTAAACAAACCACTCTGGCCTTCCCCC